CCCGCTGCACCATTTCCCCTCCTTCATCGCCGAAGCGCCCCCTTATCTGGGAGTCTTCTAGAAACCCCCCGGTTTATCCCAGCTCTCCCTCCTGGGCCCCCAGAGACCTTCTAATAAACATGCCGGCATCGACGAGTGGGGTGAAGTGGGGTGACAAAACACAGGTCGTATTAAGTCCGAATTCCAGACAACAAATGAAATTGTAGTGTAAGTATGTCCCGTGCGCTATGTGAGACATACTTACACTAAAACGTTATTTGCTACTTATCTGAATGCACCTTTAACTGGGCTGCCTGCATTGTATTTTGGTAAATCTGGCAGCCCTACCCACAAGAACAGAGGTGGAGTCGCCTGCACCCCTGTCCCCGGCTGGTGCATATGGGGGCACACTCAGTCCCTGCCCACACTCTGGAAGGGAGGCAGGGGGTGCCAAACCACTGCTCGGGTGCAGCGCGGGCGTCAGGGCGCAGGCGCGGCCACCCGGGGCGCCTACCTCTGCGCGCGTGCGGCGGAACACTACCCGCAGCCAGTTCCCGATGGTGGTGAGCACCGAGGCGAAGTAGGCCAGGCCGAGCAGGATCCAGAACCACACCAGCGGCTGATAGGCTGCGTGGGTCTGGTTGGGGTTGGCGCCTGGGATATCACGGGGAGAGCAGAAAGAAGGTGTTGTGGGGCCAGCTTTGAGCCGGGAAGCCACTACGTCACTGCCCCTCTCCCCAGCTCAGTGAGGGGATCCGCTCTCCCAGGACAGCGGGTTTGTGCGTGTGTGAATGCATGCAACCTGAGCGTGCATGACCTGCAGGTGTGCAAGAGAAGAGCATGTGAGTGGGAGTGCTCACGTGCAAGAGTGGGAGCATGTGTGAGGGTGCACCTTCACATACGTGTGAACATGCATGGAGGCGCAGGCATGCAAGACTGTAAGTGTGCACGAGGTGTTGCATCCGTGCAGCAATGTGAGGGTGCATCCCGAGCAAGGATAATAGGGGGCGGGGTCATCCCGTTTGAGAGCACAAAGGCCACATGTGGAATTTGGAGGGAGAAGTAAGAGGGCAGAGCCCCTGGGGAGGAATAACATGGGCGGGAAAGTACAGCACAAGAAAGGTGGCCTCACCGGCCACATAGTCCCCGAACCCCACCGTGGTGAGCGTCACCACCACGAAGTAGATGGCCTCGAGCTTGCTCCAGCCCTCCATGTAGCAGAACACGAACATGGGGGTGACGACAAAGAGCAGGCAGCCGATCACCAGGAAGAGCAACGCCGATAAGATTCGCACCAGCTCCTTGGGCACGTGCCACTTCTGCAGGGAGGGCAATAGGTAGGACCCAGGAGTCGCCCAAACCTCCACTCTCACACCCCACACCCCTTCCTCCGGGAGCCTGTGGGAGGCTCCTGCCATCTCGGTAGAAAAGGTATCCTGAGCCCAACACAAACGGGTGGAGCAGCTCACCAGGAAGATGGCTTCAATGTGACCGATGCCGTGGCGCAGGGCGGAGCCCAGCCGGTCCCCGACCCCTGCCAGCAGGATCCCGAACAGTGGGATCCCCACCAGAGCATAGATGATGGAGAAGATGCGACCGGCATCTGAGCGCAGGGCTGCATTGCCATAGCCTGGGCAGAGGGGCCGAGCAGGAGATCTAGGGGCTGCCTGGCACCTCCCTATCCCCCCTGCACCTTCCCCCTAGAGAAAGCCCAGCCACTCCTTGCCCCCTCCACATGCCCAGTCCCCTCCCACCGATGGTGGTGATGATGGTGCCTGAGAAAAAGAAGGCGCCGCTCAGGTCCCAGGCTGAGTAGTTGCTGTGACTGGTTGCGTTGATGTCAGGGTTTGCACCCCCTCCCAGGGCATCAGCCACCTCCTGCAGGACAAGGCACAGAAGGAGGAGCCTTAGTCCTTCCCTCCTGTCCTAGCCACCCCCTGGCCCTCCAGCCTCTGCTCCTCCCAGCTCTCCCTTCCCTCTGGCCTTCCCGAAGGCAGTCCCTTTGAACACATATTGCAGTTGGGGTGACCCAACGTTGTCTGACCTCCACATTGTTTGAGAAACATTTATCTGCCCCCTAACTTCACACAACAGATTTCCCATTTTACAGTGGCCAAGAGCACAGGCTCTGGGAGCAGACTGTCTGGTTTCAAATCTTGGTGCTACGTGAACACGGCTAAGTCTCTGTGCCTTTGTTTCTACATTACCGACCGGGGATGATGCTAACAGCACCTACCACATCAACTCCTTGTGAAGAGTTAGAGCACTCACAGCAAAGTAAGCGCTGTGTGTGCCCACGCAGTGACCGTGCCTCGACTTCCAGCTTCCCCAGACCCCACCACGCCCACTCCCCTTGGAAGCTGCGTCTGAGTCCCTTGCCTTAGAAACTGTGATGAAAGTTGGGGACCCTCCCTCCAGGCAGGTTCATATACCATCAACATTTTCACCCCATTTTTGTAGACTGGTGGACACACGAACCCCTGCCCACCTGCTGAAGCCCTGCCTACATAGTACAGTGATGGCGAACAATTTCTATAGGTGACACGGCACCAGAGTTAAGTTAGGGTTTTTCAAAATGCTGACACGCCGAGCTCAACAGGTTCGCCATCACTGACATAGTAGGTGCTCAGCAAACACGATTAAATTAACACAATGGCCCTGCGTCCGTCCCTGCTGCCAGGCAGGGCAGGGTCTGTGTTCTGAGAGTGCCCGCCCCATGGGACAGAGGTCAGAGCACAATGAGGAGGGGGTGCGATGGGGCCCTTCCCCAAGGCGCGCAGAGCCGAGCACAAAGGCAGGGAGTGTGATCACATACCGCATCTCTCTCCTCCTTAGCAAGATGCTTTCCAGTTAACTGTCCTGAACCGGGGCCCCACACCCTCCACAGCTCCCTGCCGTCTGTCCGCAGCCCGGAGTCCCGCATCCCAGCCCAGCTTTGTGCCGCTTTGCAATCTGGCTCCCACCACCCTTCCCAGTCTCCTCTCCGGGGGCTCCCATTTGGGAACCCAAGTTAAAGTGACCTTAACCCCAAATTTCTGAGATGGCCTGGCCATCATTTCCTGGCATAATAATTTTTTAAAATAAAGCCAAGAAGTGAAATATATGATTTAAAGTGATTTAATATTTATTTTGCAACACTTTTCTGGTAAATTCACTACTTAAGGGGAAAAAAACCCTTTGTCATCCTGTGTGTTCTAATTTTTGTTTCCAATGACTAGGCATCTGCTAAATCTGAGTTCTATAGCCATTTATTCATTTCTTCCTTCATCCTAGCTTCCACGCCTTTGCCCGCGCTGGTCCTCTGCCTGTAGTCCCTTGCAACCCAACCATCCACCCATCTCGCCCGCCTCATCTCAGTTACCAGCTCTTCCCAGAGGCCCCCAGCACCTAGCCCAGGGCCCAGCCTGCAACAGGCGGTTAACAAAGAAGGAAGTGAGGAAGGTGCCTTTCCCACTGAACTCTATAGTGATCTGTCCACGGAGCTGTCCCCTTGCCCAGATGTGACATCCTCTAGGACACAGCTTGCACCTGTCCCGCCCCAACGTCCATCTCCCTGCTCACTATGGTGTCTAGCACAGCGCCTCGTTCACAGCAGGGCATGATTGCTGCATGGCTAATTGTGGAAAAGAAATAGAGCAGCTGCTGCCCATCCTTCTAGTTTCTGCCCTTCCTTCGCTTCTTTTTTATTCAGGAAAAAAAGTAACTCCATTGTGAAGATAAAATAGGTCAGATTCCCTCCCTCCCTCTGCCCTGTGGTCTGGTCAGACACTCTCCGCCTGCCCCGGCCTCTCTGAGCCTCTCTCTCTCTCTCTCTCTCTCTCTCTCAGTATTCTAGATGCATCAGAGACAAGGTCAGGCTGCCTGGGCCCGCCCCACCCTCATCTCTGCTCTGGTCCGGCCACAATGGGAATCCGCAGGAGCACAGAGGCCTCCAGGCTGATGGCTCCTCCCTCCCAAAGAACAGACAGGAAAAGAGGAGTAATCTCTACTAAAGTAATAAACACTCACTTATCGAAGTTAAATCTTAGATTTTTAATAAGATAGTGACTCAGAAATCAGAGGAAGCCATAGAGGTGTGGCCTGACATTCCCCCAGAAGATAAGCCCGCACTTTAGTCCCTGGCCGGGTCCCTGGCTGCCTCCTCTCCAACCTCCAGGCTGATGGCTCCTCCCTCCCAAAGAACAGACAGGGAAAGAGGAGTAATCTCTACTAAAGTAATAAACACTCATTTATCAAAGTTAAATCTTAGATTTTTAATAAGACAGTGACTCAGAAATCAGAGGAAGCCATAGAGATGTGGCCTGACAGTCCCCCAGAAGATAAGCCTTCACTTTAGTCCCTGGCCGGGTCCCTGGCTGCCTCCCCTCCAACCTCTACAGCAGTGGTTCTCAACCTTCCTAATGCCTCGACCCTTTCATATAGTTCCTCATGTTGTGGTGACCCCCAACCATAAAATTATTTTCGTTGCTACTTCATAACTGTAATTTTGCTACTGTTATGAATCGTCATGTGAATATCTGATACGCAGGATGTATGTTCATTGATACAAAATGAACATAATTAAAGCATAGTGATTAATCACAAAAACAATATGTAATTATATATGTGTTTTCCGATGGTCTTAGGCGACCCCTGTGAAAGGGTCGTTCGACCCCCAAAGGGGGCGCGACCCACAGGTTGAGAACCGCTGCTCTCCAGCATAAGCACGTGTCCTGGGAAAAGGGGTGTTAACCGCATTCACAATGCACGCACAGGGGGAGGCGAGCCTGGAAGCCTCCAAAACCACCTGCCCGTGCTTGTAGGTGCGCTTTCCTGGGGGAGGGTGCTCGCAGTGTTCCTGGGCTTCTCTAAGGTGTACGTGGCTCCAAGGAAGTATAGGAGCCAGTGCGGGGTTGGTCAGATTTAGCAAATACAAATACTGCCAGGGACATAGTCATATTTACAAACTATCCCTTGTTTAGTTGGAATTCACATTTACCTGGTGCCCTGACTTATCTGGTAACCCTAAACCAGTGAGTGAGACCTTGGGGGAGGGTGCTCGCAGTGTTCCTGGGCTTCTCTAAGGTGTACGTGGCTCCAAGGAAGTATAGGAGCCAGTGCGGGGCTGGCCAGATTTAGCAAATACAAATACTGCCAGGGACAGAGTCATATTTACAAACTATCCCTTGTTTAGCTGGGATTCACATTTACCTGGTGCCCTGAATTGTATCTGGTAACCCTAAACCAGTGAGTGAGACCCGTGACAATGTAGCCAATCTCATTGCTACAGCCATTTGCTCCTTCCTTCCTTCCTTCCTTCCTTCCTTCCTTCCGCCCCTCCACCGTCCAGGGCACAGTCCAACGCCAGGCACAGCGAGGCGAGCACGTGCCCCACACACATCACATTGAAAACAGAGACCTGCTCTCTGCCTCTGCCCGGCACCCCAGTTGCACCCAGCCCTCGGGGGGGCCAGTCTGGAAGCAGCACCCCAGCACACGGCCCCGCGGGCATGCAGCTAGTGCCAGGGGGTGACGGGTGACGGCTGAAGGGGTTCTCGCCACCCACGCACCTTGATGAGGAGCCCCAGGTCCCCGTCGCTCACACATGGGTGGGTCCGCAGGAACTTCTCTCGGACCTCCCCCAGCTCCCTCTGGGCCTGCTGCTCCAGGGGCTGCTCCAGCGCCCGGAAGACCAGGGCCCCCAACACCAGGTAGAGCAGGACCAGCGCCAGCAGAGCCAGGAGTGTGGTGCTGCGCATGGTGTGCCCAGGGGCCCCGCCAGGTCCACGGCCCGCGTGGGGAGGCCAGGCAGGCGGCTTCGGGAGGGCTGTGGTCACTGCGGGCAGAACCAGGGATCTCGGATCAATAACCTGGCCGGACAGCCCTCCTCCAGCCCCTACACACCCACGGGTCCTTGGAGCCTCCAGCTCTCCTGCCCTCAGAGGACCTCTCCCTGCATCCCTGTGGCTGGACGGACACTTGGTACCAGGACACACCCGGGCCTCCCCCCAGTTCGGTCCCCCCTTACCTCCACTGCCCGGCCCTCGGGGCCCTCAGCCCCTGTCCGGGGCCTCTGGGTGCGAGAAGAGAAGAAGGCACCCGGAAGGGAAGAGGAGGGAGGAGAGTGGAAGAGGCAGGGGAGCAGGGAAACGCCGGAGGGTGGGGGTGGGGGCTCCGGGGCAGGCGTGGGAACTGGCCTTCCAGGAGGGGCCGAGCGCTGGGAGGCGCTGGCAGGAAAAGTGGGAGGAAAGCCGACCGCATGGGCGGGGACCGGGATGGCTGGTCCGGTTCGCCTGCCGCTGCCGCAGCAGCATCTTCGTGACTTCTTCTCCGGGCCCAGATGGGCTGGGCGGGGAGCCTCCAGGGGCCCCCAGAGCCCCGCTTTCGAGGAACCCAGGGATGGGTCCGGTCCCAGTGCAGGTGCGAGGCAGGGGTGGGGGCCGGTTCCGGGAAGGAGCCGAGCAGGGCGAGGGCTA